TAAAACAATAAAGCAGATTTTGAGGCAGTTTGGGATCACTTCCCGTTGTTAAGATTTGGGCACAAGTCCCACTAAGGTAAAAAATAGGCATATAGTTTGAATGAAGATTTCTCACATTTTAGCAATGAAATCAATAAACTGGATAAATGTATCTTTTGCAGCATAATACCTCGAGTGGATGCAGAAGAAATTGAACTATGTAAAGCGTTGAAACAATGCATAATTGGAGTCGAGATTGATTTTCGCTGATGTGCTTTACCTTAAAGCAGCACTAACAAGAATTGTTACGCCAATTTTATATTTTTAACATTAACGTTCTAAATTTATGATTGGACATGACAGGTAACAAATTATCGACTCTAATCCCAAGTAAAGCGACTTCAATAACCTTTACAAATCTGGGGGGGGGGGTGTTATGATGAGGACGGTTTACATGTTTTTGACTGAGCAGGGCCTATATGCATTACCTTTTGTGAGGAAGTCTGATTTCGTAACCCTTTTATTGGCATTTTGAGGTAAGATATGAGTAATCGATGCCCCTAACTAGGAAATACAGAGTAGATCAACATTTTACTAAGCACGAGACTTTTCTAACCCATAGCGGATCTTTACGGCGTTACTTCCGAAAAAAAATTGTACAAGACGGAAGATAAGTCCATAAAATTGAGACTGACTGATGGTAATTTGGATGCCACCAAAAATGCTCAATAATTCCAAAGTGGTAGTGGTGGTGGTGGGGTGGGGGGGGGGGGGAATTGTGAGTAAAGAGAACAAGGGATAATTCATCCACTTTCATTTGCAGTTGCATATTTGTCCTTCTGATTTTTCATCGTCTAAGGAAGACTTGTTGTCATAGCTATTACATCATCAATATTGATACGTGTTTTCCATTTGGTCCTGTCAAAACAAAATTCCCGTAGACACTTAATCATGGTCCACTTGAATTTTATTGCAAGAATGATATATACTTTATTCAAATCACAAAATATCAAAAGCATAAACTTCCATTTTATAAATACGTCACTAGAGCTGAAATAGTGCATTTTAGGAAAGGGGCCAATTGCAAACATTTTGGTATTTTAAATTACGACTTTAAAATTTTATTGTTTAATAAATAACCAATGTTGACAATGAAGAGAGCTACACTAAATGGTCCTTTGAGCTTAAGCGAATTATTGTAAGTTTGCACTCTATGCTGGAAGCGTTTCTAGATTAAACTGGGCATTTAGCGATTACAGAGAGCCCTGGTTACAGCCCGGTCACTTTTAGGGTTTTACACCTTTCAGGTCAGTGATGCCTAAATTGTTAAGATCGATTCTGAGATGTACACTACCAGTTAGGATCTTTCCAAAGTTTAACAAGACTATGTTGTGTCATGTAATTCGCATCTAATTATTCTGAAATAAACTTCAGAGGCCAAAAAACGTTTTTGCTTTTAATGATTTCTGTTGAAAATTCTACACTGGCCGATTTCCAACCAATTAAACCAAGTGCAATCTTTAAAACTTTTACAGAATAAATCATAATTAGTCCTGATAAATGATAAGATTATATTGATGAGTTCAGAGTGTTTGAAGTTAACTAGACTACAAGCGTCCATAAACATCGTAATCCATTTATGAAATATGATGACAACTCCTAACTTGGTGGGTGGAAGGTATTCTTAAAGCACTCTCATGAGAAGCTGGAATTCCGCTTACAACCTTTCAACCTCATTATTGAAATAGTTTGAAGGTGATTGTTGAGTGTCGCTGAATGTCAGATACTTGGAGTAGAACTTTGTTGCTTTGTGAAACGTGATGGTCGATATCCATTAAGACACGGATAGAGAAATACAATAAAATTAGGAAAGATATGATTGTATAAAGTGCATAAACGACATCAGAATGTTCTTATTATCCAAAATAAAATCTATTTCAGCAATACAATGCACTATAGCCTCCATAGCAGACCATAAAATCACTTTGGTTGTTTCTGGTGTTATCATTAAGTCCGCCGTCTGCCCTCCAAAAATATAACGTTTTTCACTTTCATTCTCATTTACTCCTTCCACTGAGGCATTGTAGATGGGGATGGTATACCTGATAGAAGAAATTAAGTCATAGCTTCTAACCTCGTTAATCAATACAAGCGAAGCTCCAAGCTCTCAATTGCTCCTTTGGATGCGCATGCTGGGTAGTCCTTCCATTACTGGGACTGAGGTGCCAGCTTAGCCTACTTAATAGTTCTCAGTAGCGGTGCGTTTTGTGGAATGTAATTGAAATTATTCATCAAGGTAAATATGTATTTGCCATCAATAAATTTGTCATTAGCATCATGAAACTTATAATCAAAATATATTAGCATGTATTTACGCATTTTTCAAAGGTTTGTTTTTAATTTGAGTGGCTTCGCTATGTAATTTTATATGGTTATTTGGCTGAAATATTTGTCAGAATCTGTAAGATTTACGGGGGAGGGGTTTGATGAAATTATTCTAGCAAATAATTTCCGCCCTCAAGAAAATAATAAATCAGAGCGGGTTACCGGAAAAGCATTTTTTCATTTTTCTTAGTAGACTGCTACTCAGTAGTAATTTGAAACCAGTCTAAAACACGATAATGACATTTTTTCTCACTGCAAATAAACAATAGGGTCGATTTCCCTTTAAAATAAACTTCAAAGAAATTTAAAATTCAGTCATAAGGGCATTTTAAATTATACCCTGAGGAAGTTTTTTTTCATGAAGTTTGAAGAAACTTTCATTCCACCAAACCCAGTAGCTCACCACTGTCTTTATTACTATGCTACTGTTAATTGCATATTAACAACAATTAGCATCTAAACCGAGGGAAATTCTTTAGCCATCATGCTTATCAAATTCTTCCTAAGGTAGTAAATTCAACCCGTTTTCCAAGAGTTGGGCGTCAGATCCATATTATATTGTTTAATTCCTTCTATTATCATAATCAATTTGAGTTCGCTTAGTCAATATTCCTAATCATATGTCCCATGGCAAAAAAACTGTGCCTAGGAAATTATACTCAGGCAAATAATAATAATAATTTGAAACAGGTACACATTTCTTTAGATATAAGATAAGTTGAAGATATACATACTTTCCAGGTTAGCATAGACTATAACATATAAACTCTATAAACTTGAGTAAAAGTTTATTTTATAAATGACAAGGCGAATGCCCCCTGTTCCTTGTTACAATTAATGACAGCAATATCAACGCGAATGGCAGCATTGAAGTAATGTCAAATTTTGCGAAAAATTGATTTCCCTTAAAAATGACAACTATCTTTGGTATTCAGCAGTAAAATTTTAACAGAAGGAACTTCTGATTTCAATTTAAGCTGGTCGAAATGAAGAGAATGGGCACTAATTGAAATGCTTCTACAATTCATCCACCAAAATTGCTTCGGCTCTTGGTAAAATACGCACTAGGAAGGAGGTGATGGATGATCGATTTCAACTTAATTAATCAAAAGGGGAAATGAATTTAGGAAAAGACTGGTGATGAACAAAATGGGGAGAAATTTATCAAACAAGATTTTGTTAATTTAGTAAAATAAATTTTAAGCACAGATCTATTACATGCTAGTGTTTAAAGAGGGTTATGTATTTAATAGTACTTTAACGGGGCCGAGTTTGCATAATCATATCATTCTCTTCTGAAATGTGTGGATGTAAATGTAACTAAATATTGATTTTGATTAGCATTTATCATTGAACTAATCACCTATGCAGTAGCCAATCAGCATTAATATTGGGAAAGTGAACGAATATGAGGAAATGCTAGGGCGTAAAAAGTGAAATGTGAGTCAAGAAGAAGGTTCTGGAGTCATCATTATTAAGAGTCTTACTTTATTAAAATTAGTGATCGAGTATAGTGCCCCCTCTAAGAGTTAAGTTTCCACTGCCTAATTTTATGATGATTAAATTTCATAATATTTATTTATATCAAATAGAAGGCGTTTCGATAGTTACCATTAGCCCTTTGATTGACTTCAGGCTTCACAGAGGGAAGGAACATCAAAGTGAAAACAGTCGAGAGGAGGGGGGGGGGACAGAAGAGTGTTTCAAGGATGCAAAAGAGACAGATACAAAGATAGAAAAAAGGTGAGGTGAGTTCTGCGGAAGGGGTCGAATATGACATTCAATGAGGTCATGATAGTTTGAAGTCAGAAGTCAACTGCCAGTTAATAGAGTTTTTTGCCGCATGAATATATGTTGCCCAGGGTGCACCACGTGGAGGTAAGTAGATCGCACACCCCAATTTCATTATATAATCCCTAGGTTCCTAAAAGACTTTCGACCTATGTGTTTCGAACTTACTGACTGCCAAAGTTAAGCAGGCGGTTGGCCATGCTGCCTCAACCAATTTATAAATTGAAGTACGAAAATGGTGCTAATCTCAAACATCATGCTTTATTTGATATCTGCAAATAATTATAGCCTTAAAATTATTCAATATATGACCTTACAATCATGCTTTTATATATCATATTTAATTTTAAAGTAAAGAAAAAACACTTAAATAAAATTTCCTCAGATAGCTAAAGCACACATTGTACTAGCTTTTATTCCAATAAAATGGATTGGTGCACATTCAAACACTTTATTTTAAGATGAAGGCATAGATTTTATTTTAAAATATGCAGTGTATTCATTTCTAACCTAGATGCAAGTTTATAAAACGTTTGTCCAGTAAAGCCTCATTGTGAAATAGGCTGCAATCTGATTGGTTGGTCAATTCAGGGGCTTCATGCTAACAACCAATTAGAAATCACAATACACTTTCATTTGTGCGAAATGCGACTCTTGCTGAGTAATTGTACTGATAGACACATAGACCGAGGACAATAGATGAAGAATGGAGATCATCATAGGCAGAGACACAAATCTTCAGTTGTTCTTGATTATGGGTCTTTTAATTTCATTTTGTTCCTTATCACAGCAGTCTCCTTTTGATATTGAAATTAAAAAGTTGACAAATTCCTTCGTGTACATAGATGCAGTTAATATCGCCAATGTAAGCCTGCCAGAAAATACGCGTTTTCTTTGGTATTTTAGTCCTACCCGGGATCCAATCACCTGGATGCTTAAAGGTGTGGGAGAAAGCATGGCTTTCGCTTACTCACAAGCCGAAGTAAATGGACTGTTAAATCTCACGGTCATCTATCCAAATGGTGTCCGAAAATCAGTTTCACGTCCCTTGAGAAAGGACCTGGAATTGGAAGTAGATACTTTTGCTAATGGTATACTGCTTAATCGAGGCAGTCGAATATTCACACTTCCCATTCAAGAAGGCGACGAGTTTTCATTTAAATGTCTTTTTCGTGGAAGTCCTACGAATGTCGAAATCCTCCTACCAAATGAGATGGAGTGTTTGGATCAAGCAATGGATGAGGGAATCGACTCTATTAGTGTCCGATGTGATAACCTCCATTTTCAAGAAGGACAGTATGGCTGCTCAGGACAGAGCGAAGACAAGAAGTTGACAGTACATATTTTCCTCTTTGGAAATGCTGCTCAATCAGTATCTGTAAGCAGATGGACTTTCTTTTCGATCCCCTTTTTATCACTGATCGCATGGTACGTATTATGATAAATAAAACCAGATTCTTTCTTAATTTAGCTCTCTTTCTTGTAAATAATATGTACACACATTACTGCTACTCGTTATTGAAATGTTGGAAGTGGTTTTTCCTATATTGTTAAAATATTTACATTAGCTAAACAGCATTTGCTCTAAGCCATTCACTAAATTGAAATACAATCTTCTTTTTTATCTACAGTACAATTTATAATTTCTCCATCTAGTCTTATAAAACGAGTCTATGATTTTTGAACTCTTAACTTTTCTACTACAATGCACTTGTTTATTTGGTTAGAGTTGGTGGGTGAGGTAATGAAAGTCCTTCCTGACAGAGAGCGTAAACTGACCTATTGACGCGAAGGGGCGGGGGAGGCTTTTTAGTGTCGAAAAAAAAGAAAATGCTTCACATGAGGAGCAAGCGTTTATGCGTAGAGTTGAGATGGATTTGAAAACCATTAAAGCTCACTAGTATTAGCATTAGAATTAAAGAGTAGCATCAAGCAATGCTGAGTATTAATTTCAGCATTTGAATTCTAAGTCACAAATGTTATTGATTGTCTAATGTAGATCGGTTTCATATGCCTTCTGCAAGCTAAAATAAGTTTCATCAATAACTCATTGTTATTGACTATAATAGATAAAGCGGTAACTCACTTAAAATTTAAGCCACGACAATATGATTGAATGGAAAATTCAGGTTTGAAAATATATGACGTAAAATGTCTCCTTATTAATGAATTCCTACCTTGTTTGAACATTCTAATCGAATGTGCTCAGGTACTTTATTTTTTCCATTGTTATGCCATTTTTAAATATAAATCTGACTGCTGCATTTGGTATCCTCAATGATTATTATGGTAAAGAGATGTGTCAAATAAAACTGCTTAGTTATATTGACTTTTAGTTGTTTAGGGTTAATTTAACAAAACTGCCTTTGATGTCTTAAAATTTTATTTAAGATGATGGTGTGAAGAGAAATAAATTAGTGTAATTAAAAATGGCATTAGATAAAATATAAGTAAAAGGCACTCATTGCATTCAGATTAATGAATAGCTTAATGATATTTATAATCTATTTAATATGAATAAGTTCTGAGAAATGGGAGACCAACTTTGAGGGCTGAGACATGGGATGACTTGCGATCTGAAAATCGGAGAAGAAAGGGTTTTAAAAGCATTTTGCACTCAACTTGAGCACAAATTCCCATTGCATAAGCCTCTTTAGACAAAGCTACTATAGTTTACATTCAAACTCTTAAAATTTTGGTGAATTCTAGCTTAATAGACGTCAATCAAAATTCTGAATGTTAAATTATGCAGAACTTATAAAAAGACAATTTTATAAATTGCTTGCAATTTTAACTTATAAGAGCCATTGTGATATGCAAAAATAAATGCCAATTTCTTAGCTAAAGGTAGAGTTGGGAGTACAAGAAAAGTATGCGTTTCTCAGTAATAATACAGCTTTGAAAATATAATTTGAAGCTAAGTCAGAGCGAATTTATGGATTTGAATCATCTTTTATCATCTGGGATATTTAAATAAACACTATCTAGAAATATTATCAAATCACAAAGACATTGAGAAGCTAGAAAAAGTTAATTCGATGTTTGTTACTTGAAAAAATTTTTTAAAATCAAGTAAGTTTTAAAATTTTTAAATCCAAAGAAGGATTGGATTAATAGGAAGAAATCAAGGTAGATTAAAAACCACGTCAATCAGTGTTTCCTATTGTTTATTTATTTAGTTATTTCAAGCTGCAAGCATTTTGATAGTTATCATTAGCCCTTTAGTTGACTTCGGTCTTCACAGAGGGGAGGAACATCAAAATGGGAAAAACTCGAGAGGGGGACATAAAAATGATTCAAGGATGCAAAAGAGATAGACAAACACAAAGGCAGAGAAAAGGTAAGGTGAGTACTGTGAAAGCAGTCGAATATGGCATACAGTGGGGTGATGGTAGTTTGAAGTCAGAAGTCAACTGCCGGTTTATAGACATTTTTGCCGCATGAATATACGATGGAAGGTTGCACCACGTGGAGGTAAGTCTATCGCACATCCCGTATTACCTATTATGAAACCATAAAATGTGAATTGCTAACATCGATTTTGTCATCGATAATCATTACATTAGACTTTCTTTGGCCGTGAGCATCTCGATGCCTTGATCTTATAAGATTTAAAATCTCAAGCGGACACCCTTTAGTTTTAGACCAACAATGATTCATTTATGTAGCAAATTCACATACGGGTTTTAATTCACTGTGAATTAAACTCAAATATAATGTGAACAAGGTTCTCGATCGCGTTTTTAAACAATTAAATTTAGTGAAGAATTGATAATATCACCTTGTTCCACTATTATAGTGCCAGATTCATTACCACGTAAATGAGACTGGCAATGTGTCTTTCTAAAGTGAACTATAAGAATTAAATCAACTTATTAATAACTAAATCTGACTACCATTTAACCTAGCATATTTATATAACCCGTAAATAGTAAATCAAATGGTCCATTTCATTATATACGGAGATAGATTCTCGAATAGATAAATGCTCTATAAATATTGCTCAGCTCGTAAAGATTTAAACAAGGAGATGATTATTAGTTAGAAAAAATGGAAATGTTGATTTCGAACAAGACGATGACCTGATTTCTAAACTGGAATATTTACATTTCTGAGTGCCAAGGTGTAATAACACTTTCAGTGGGATGAGATGCCGAGATCAGTTGCCGAAGAATTAACGCATTTGCTAAAGGTGGCGTTTGATTAAAATTTCTCCTCGGATTAACGTGATATTCGGAGGGAGTTAAACCCATTAAGTATAAAATACTAAAATTTTATTTTGGAACAAGTGGGTAGATATAAATATCAGGTCAAAATTAAGATATAGGATAATTATGGAATTGCTCAATTTATTAATCGAAATAAGTTGCTCAATATGATTCGATCCGATGAGAATAGTTGCATATTTAACTAATTACGTGACATAAGGTGAAATGACTATTGAGGCAATAATAGGAAAAGGTTTTCGAAGCATAGATAAAGAAATTTCATTAAAGCTGAAATATCCTAAAATAGACCAGAAAAAACGAAATCGATTAATATGAGGGAAAATTATAATATTTCTTACTAGCTTGCAAAGAAAGCAGTAATCCTTGAATCCTAATCTTGGAACCAATCATGAGACAATTTTTAAAGCATGAACGTATATTAAAAATGTTCTTTACAAATTTATTATCAAGTTAACTAGTATTTTTACACATAAAATGGATTTGCATCAGTCTCTAGTTTCTTCAACAGACACAGAAAATTTGATAATTTTATGAAGTCATAAATTTAACTAAAAGTCTACCGAAATGCTAGTCTTTCCCTAGACTTGTTTCATATGTAAATAAATCAAGACATAATTTAAGGAAAGATAATTATAGCCTATGCATTGAGCACCGCGCTGAAAATCTTAATACAAAAAAACTGACGAAACTATAATTGTGTTCAACTATTCAAAAGTAGGAATTAAAGCTTTTTAAGAAGATTGAACGGCCATTTTTAAATGCATCGAAATTTTACGCAATTTACATATTGCATCATTGCAATTCATTGCCTCCATTCACTTTCTGCCAAAATTCTCAGAAGTGCAGGGTTACCAGAATATATGATTGCCAAGTTTGGAGGGAGGGAGGGGCTTTAGTACTTTAATAGTACTTTAATGAGAAGTGACCAAGCTGTTATAAAGACAGAAGTTGTATGAGAAAGTGGATATGGAGGTTGATAAGAGGAGTTGACCAGAGGACCTGATTGGCAAGGGCTGGAGAGTAAATAGGCGGGAAGTTGCACTTTAGTAATGGTTCCAAGTTTACTTAAATTAAAACTGGGGAAATGGGAGGTATACAATAAGAAAGGATCGTTGGGCTAGTTAAGATAGCTTGAAAACAGGTAACAGTTTTTGGATCAAACGAAAATTTAATTAAGGGGTAGCTAGAAGAAGCGTTGTGACTACCGACAGTTTGTTTATAGTCAGGAGCTTCAAAGAAACGCCTGTAAAGGGACACGCATTTCTACTTTACAGCACAAGAGCGCACTGATAAAAATTTTTTTATGGACACCAGGTCATCGACGCAGTTGCCTACTCTCAAGAAATGCGGTATCCACCTATAGTACAATTAAGGTTTGCGTTAGTTTTTGCGCTGCGGTCATTTTTGAAGCCAAAATTTGCCCATAAATGTAAATAATAAAGAAAAAATTTTCAACCAGGTTATTTATAAGTTGGCTTACTATTAATTATACGTGTTCCAAAAATAGAGTTTAATTTAAAATCAATACAACCGGGGTGGGGGGGGGAGGTAGCAATATAGTAACGATGATGAAAATGGTGACATCATTCCTGCCGGTAAAATTTTGTGGTTTGAGAGAACCACCTCCCATATTTTTAAAACTTAAAAATGGGCTCATGAAATGTGGACGAAAAAGGGGGCTCAAGGTTTTGAAAGATTATTCTGTCTCGAAATACACAATTCCCTCAGTTGGTCTCTTAATCGCTAATAGTCTTTATGCAAACTAATGAACACTCGGCTCCTGAGAACTTAGATGTTAATGGGTATGTTGATTTTCAAGATACCTAATATGATTAATATTTGTATACACCGGTTAACATATTCCTTGTTGAGTTTCCAATAGAAAACGCAACAATTCTACTTCTCTCTTAACTCTGCCACCCCCCTCCCCGGATCTAAGTCAAGTGTGGCCTGCTAACAGTGCAATGCTTGCCAGTAATACTACAGTGAATAAGGGCCCTAATTTACATAAGATTTCGAATATTATTTCAAAAGCAGGCTGTATGATATTTATCATTAGTCCCTAGATTTCGAATATTGAAAAGTGATATTCCGTACAGCTAAAGTACTAGGGTTTGATAGCCAGATCTATTGCGTAGAAAAGGTGAGACTATAGGCCAATGAAAAGCAGCTTTAGTATATTTCATTTACGCTCTTATATCGAATTGAAGTCATTTACATGAATTATATTTTCAAGAATATGCGTTTGCAATTTAAAATTT